TGTAACCTTTCCACTTAACAGTTATTAATAAATTAACTATACTAGTATGTATATAGTGATTAACTATGAGTTATGTTAGTTCCCAAAAAACAAATAATGAATAGAGCGCAGTACAAAAGACTAAAAATGGATGCCCATTCCAAAAACACGTAGAGCTGCACTTGAAGTAGTAGGATTTCAAGTATTATGGCTTAAAGCAGAAGATGAGCAAAAGAAAATGGGTAAAGATGCTGCCATACTATGCACTTGCACTTAAGTGGCATCCTAACATGTGGGCAAGGGAGAGCGTAGAAGAGCAAGAAAAAGCAACAAAGTAAATGCAAGATTTTGCTATATGAAATATTCACTGTTAAGAAGTAGCCGAACTAGATCCTTTAGAATTAATAGAGAATTTATTTGGGCCTCACTCAAGCCCTAGAAGATCTAAACTATATTATTTGCTATCCTTAAAGGGGGATGTTACAACAAGTAAAGTGCTTTTTTACTCAAAAAAAACTAAATATATTAGCAATATTAATCACAAAGTGCTTGCAACAATCTCAGTTCTGATTGGTCGGAACTCTTTGAAGTAACTTTATTAAAAAGATCTGGTACTAAAGATAAGGTAGATAGTAATACTAGAAACAGAGATAGTATTACCCATGTACATAGCTGCTAAGCATGGATGAAGGATTTGATGAAAATTTTGATCGATTATGGAGCAGATGTAAATGTGCTTGATAATGCGCAACGCAGCCCTTAGATGATGTTATGGATGATAATCACATTGAGGCTATAAAATATCTTCCAGGCTCTATAAACCAAAATTTAAAGAAGCAAGAAGAAAGTGGTAGTTTACCAGTTAATAAACAAGGAGAAACTCAAATGAAATATTACCCCCCAAGAAACAACTTGAAGAGAATTACTTAAGTAGATAGTGTCCCGCAACCAAAAAGCTGTTAGAAGAAGTGCTTTGGGTTTACAATGCGAGTAATAATGTTGAATCTTATGTTATGCTCCTTATCAAAGTTGCGATAGACATTTGATATAATGTTAAAAATCTTGATCTCTCGTATCTTATTTTTCACCCTCACCATTAACGATATCAACTTCCGATTATGTTCCTTTTGTTCTGATGTTAGATGTTAGCGGTTTTTTTTCTATATTTTTGTATAGTAATTTTTTTTGGCTAATAATGACTCCATTTTCTTCAGTAGTAAGCAGATATTTGAGTTGTGCAAGTTAAATAAAAATCCCAAAGATGGATGTATTATGCATGAATATTTCGCCTTCTAGTGTTTTACCATGCGATTTTCTTCCGTGCCCTTTCTTTTTTTGCCTCCATTTTTCCACTACAGCCTCACTTTTTTGCACGATTTTTTCAAATTCTTCTATTTTTTAAACCCTTAATTGTCTAAAATACAAGGGGTTTTGCCACTTTTTCCTTGTTTTGTAGGGGGTNGGTCAAAGATTTGGAAAATAAGTTTTTGATCTTTTTTTTCTATTTTTTTCTATTTTTGCTGGTATTATTCCTCTTATACCTCCGCCATTAATGGATAAGATAAATTTAGTTATATGTGCACACGTTTCTTACTTTTATTAATATGTTTGTTTTTATCTGGCTGTGTTTGTACGAAAATCATAGTTTGTTTTACTCCTCAGGAAAAATGTTCTATACATATAATTGATGCAATAGACAAATCTCAAAAATCTATATTAGTTCAAGCATATACGTTCACTTCTAAGCCAATCGCAAAATCTTTGATTCGAGCAAAGGAGCGTGGTGTTAGTGTGGCAGTTATTTTGGATGAGTCTCAGCTTAGCTCAAAGTACAGTGTTATAAGTTATTTGTTTGCACAAGAAATACCAATATACATAGACTATAAACCAGCCATTGCTCACAATAAGGTGATGATAATTGACAATAAAAAAGTACTCTCAGGTTCCTTTAACTTCACTCATTCTGCAGAATTTAGGAATACTGAAAATCTGCTGATTATTGAGAATAATGATATGTTAATTAGGAAGTACATAAAAAATTGGAAAAATCGACAATCTCACTCCAAGCTCTATCAACCCGTGAAAGAGTAGTCATTTGCATTTTGAGTTGTTAATCTTAAACTAATCGAGCTCTTCCGATAAAATTTTTACCCTTTCCTCAAGTATAGTACCTTTTTATTAATCCATATTCTATAATCTTATCGTGAATTTGCACTTTTAAATCAAGCTTGGTTAACCACTACATGATAGTAATGGTCTGTATTATCATCGTTATTATTACTGTTAATGGAACTTTTTAATTTTGCATAAATATGAGTTTGTTATGTAATGATTATCCAGCTTATATGCAAAAATTTATGATTTTAACTTATATTTTTCTTCTGCTTCAACAAGCAGCTTTGTTAGCTCTCCATATGACTTCTTTTTATTGTTTCTTAATTCCATTACAGCTGTTCTTCTAAGGCTTTTCGATTACTATCCTTGGTGGCAGGATCTGCCCCTTGCTCTAATAGAAACTTAATAAATTCCAAATGTCCTTTATCTGGAGTAGAATGTAGCGCTATCGACTTAAATTTATTAGCTGCATTAACATCGATACCTCCTGCTACTAAAGAACTTTATGACTTCTAAACATCCATTTCCCATAGAATAACGTAATGCCTCTTTGTAATGTTGACATCACTTTTTTATCAAAGATTTCACAACCCCTAAGTCACAATTTCTAGTTACGATCTCTAATTCAGTATTGTGATTTTTTACTTTCCCTGTAAAACAAAGAAGAACATATACTATAATAGATAGTACCATTACATTAATAAATGTATACCATCATTACAAAAAAGTCTTCTCATATAAAGATGGATTACAACTACTCTTAATCAAAAAAATGATATTACACAGGCTAAAACATTGACTGAAAATGTTCAAACTCTACTTTAGTAGCCGATAAGGGTTGCTATAGCAATGCACTCCTCTAAAAAGAAATCGAAAAGCGCGGAGATACTATTACGAATACGTTTATAAAGAGAGGCATTTTATCGAGTATTTTTTTTGTAAGATAAAACATTTTAGGCGGATTTTTTCTCGACTTGACAAGACTGCAGTAGTTTTCATGAAGTTTTTAACTTCGTTGGTGCTCCGTATGGATTGCTTGGATTTTGGTTTGTAGAGGTTGGGGGGTATAGTATAATCAAGGATCTATTAAAAGCAGGAGATGTTAATGTATTAGATAGTGAACATAAAATAACTCCTTTGCATATAGTAACTGAAAATAGCCTTTTAAGGCTAGTAAAGACTCTATTAGAAAAAAAGCGTAAATCCCTTTTTAAGGATGGGAATGTTTGGAATTCAAGAGAATCAGCTAATTATGATAATATGTCACAGCTTTTAAAGAAGGTAGAGAAAGACGGACATTTAACCAATGACGATAAAATCGTTCCTATTGCTTGTTTAAGCGCAATAATTGGAGCGACAATAATAGTGTGGCGTATTGAAAAATCAAACATTCTTATTGAAGCAGCATCTATAACGTTAGCAGCTCCTCAAATCCAACACTGTTACTAGCAGTTGGTATAACTATATATAGAACACTTGCACATCATATTAATGAACTTAATACCGAAATAAATGAAATAGAAATAGAGGAAAGACCTGATGTGGAAGTTTCTGTATATAGAATCTTATAAACTCTATCTGTAGATTATGTCTGGCGAAAAGTCAGACCCCTAGACCACCTAAAAAGACTTTGCGAGAGGTCTAATCGTACATTAAAGCTATTATAGATATAGTATTGATTTATAAAAATGTGTTAACATTTGCATCATGTTCT